TCATTAAAGCTTTTGGGGGGGAAACAAGTTATAACTTGTATTCTAGTCACCATAGTGTCACTGCTTTGATTTATACCTACATCAGCTCTTGCCTGGACCATTGCAATAGACTCATTCACTCATTCATTCATACAAGTAGTGTGTGCTTACTCTGTTGCACACACTCAAGAATTCAATAGTTAAAAGGCTGACATGAATCCTGCACTTAAGTGCTTACATTTTAGTCAGGGGACAGCATTAAGCAATTCAATGACCAAATTAATTATTTGAATACAACCAAGATGAGTGCTACCAAGTAGTAGTAGAGGAAGTTGAAAGTATATGATATGGAAAGGTGCCCTAATCTGGGGAAGCATCAGGAAGACTGCAGTGAAATTAATGTTGAGCTCTGAAGGCCAGGTGGAGGCCACTAGGCAGAGAGCCTGGAAGAAGAGCTTTCCTGGTTGAGGAAGCACCCTGTGTGAAGGCCCCTTGTGAGAATAAAGCAGTACTCCTTTGAAGAACTGCAGAGGAGACTGTAAGGCCAGAGCTGGAAAATCTAGAGATAGGAGGTGAGGTTAGAGAGGTAGTCATGAAGCCAGTTATTACAGGACCTTGTAGGCCATGGCAAGGATGTAGACTTGCAAGCACCAAGTAACAGGCAACTATTAAAGGGTTTTAAGCAAGGGAAAACCACAATCAGGTATGTGTGTGATGTGTGTGTGTTTGTGTGTGTATGCATGTGTGTGTGTGTGTGTGTGTGTGCATGTGCACGTGTGTGTATATTAGTCTGCTCTGGCTGTCATAACAAAATTTCAAAGACTGGGTGGCTTAAACGAGAGAATTTATTTCCTCCCAGTTCTGGAGGCCAGTTGTCCCGGATCAAGGTCCAGCAGAGTCAGTTTCTAGAAAAGTCCTCTCTTCCTAGCTTATAGACAGCCACTTTCTTGCTGTGTCCTCAGATAGCCTTTCCTCAGTACATGTGCACGGGGGAAAAAAAGAGGGAGAGACAGTATGCAAGCAAGCTCAGATGTCTCTTCTTATAGGGACACTAATCCTATGGGATGAGAGCTCTACCGTTATGACCTCATTTAACCTTAATTCCTTCTTTATTCTAAATATAGTCACATTGGGGGTTAGGGATTTAACACATGAATTTAAGGGGGACACAGTTCAGTCCTTAACGTGTGTGTGTGTGTGTGTGTGTGTGTGTGTGTGTGTGTGTGTTTAATCACTCTGGCATTTGTGTAGACAATAGATTGGAGAAAAGTAGTCCAGTGGTAATAGAGTGACCAGTTAAGACGCTGTTGTGGTAATCTAGATTTCAAACGCATCTTGGAGGTAGAACCAACAAGGCTTATTGATAGATTACATGTAGGGGTGAAAAAGAGGGAAGTGTCATGGAGGACCTCAAAGTTCTTTCTTGAGCAACTGGGTGAATTGTTGATTGATAAAGGGAACACTGAAGGAGGAGGTGGGGGTTTGGGATGGGGCCATGAGTGCAGCTCAACTGGTTTCCCTCCCTCCAGTTGTTCCATCCATAATCCATCCTTCATATCAGTTATTTTTGAGCAATGCAACTTTAATCATGCTGCTCCTGCTTCAAATACACACACACACACACACACACGCACACACACACACACACACACACACACACACAACCTTCCAAAGCTTACAAGTCTAAAATTCTTAACAGAGTACACAGGATCCTCCTAGATTGGACCCTAATCTATTTTTCTCACTATACCTTCCCTACCTCTTGAACCATGGTTCTAGCCATGCCTTGACCAAGTTATTCCTTCTACCAAGATGTCCTTCCTCCCACATGGCTGCCGGATGAAATCCTACTCTTCCTTCAAGCTCCAATTCCCATGTCATCTGTCTGTGAAGTTCTCCCTCACCATCCCTCCCCTCCATAGTTAATTGCTTCTTTTTCTAAGATCCTATAGTACCTGACACATAGAATTATCTGAGACCTTATCATACTGCATTGTAATTCTCTTTCTCATCTGTTTCCCCAACTAAATTAAATGCAAGGGCAAAAGCCATGCTTGATACTTCTCTCCATTCCCAATTCCTACCACAGTGCCTGGAAACAAGTAGGTACTCAGATATAATGATAAATAATAATGGCAAACACTCATAGAGTGATTACTATGTGTCTGACACTGCTCTGAGTGCTTTAGATGCTCAACAATGATCTCTTCAAAAGTTCAATTATTATCCCCATTTCACAGACGGCTTGCCAAAGTTAGCAGAATAAATAAGTGGCAGAACCAGGATTGAAATCCAGGCAGGCTGGCTCTGGAATCTAAGTTATTCATCATTGCACTGCATAGCCTCCCAATGTTTTTCTGCTGCTCAAACAATTAGCTATTGCTCTTCAGACTCTCTTTCCAGCAGGGCAGTCTTCATCTCTTTCCACCCCACTGTTTTATTGTCTATTACTTACTTGGAGCCTGGGAGCTGCTTTGATGATGACCTCAGGGAGTTGGGGGTTGCGGGGTGGCGAATTACTCTACTAAAACCAAAGGCTACAGCAGGAAAAGAACTACAGAAATATCCCCCCCCCCTTATCCTTCCCTTTTATCCTACTACCCCACTCCTCAAGCACCAGATACCTGTTTACTTCTACCTTAGAAAGAAGCAAAGGGTTACCCTCTTTTCTCCCAGTCTCATTTTTCTACCTACTTGGCTGTCAGCTCCTCCCTGCCCAACCTTTTGTAGTCTAGGAACTAGGCTTAGCTAACTCCTGCAAATTCCAGTTCACACACAAGCTCAAATTGAGTGTGTGCCCTGCAATGCCCCCAACTGGGCCTATCTCATTTTGCTCTGCCTGATATTTTGTTTTGTTTAGCTTTGTTTTTGAGGGGGAGTGGAGTTTTGGTTTTGATTCCCTCAAGAGAGAGCGAGGTCCCTGCTGTTTTACTTTTAGCTAGCACTAGCTCAGCTCCAGAGTAGCCTTCACCATGACCCCCAGATTAATACAGCAATACAAAGAAAAAGTGGCAGCAGGGTAACAATGGCACAGTTGTGTTCATTCCCCGACTTTGCATTTCTTCAGCATTTAGGAGCTTGGTTTTGTGCTGTTTTGTTTGGTTTTTGAAAATTTTTATAAGGGTAAAGGTGATATAGGGTAAAAGTACATTTCCTGAAGCCAGATACACCCACCACTTACTAATTGTATGACCCCAGGAAGTTATTTAACCTCTCTGCTTCAATTTCCTCATCTGTAAAATGGAGCTAATACTCTTCACAGGGTGTTTGTAAGGATTCAATGAATCAACCAGTGTGAAACATTTAGAACTGTACCTGGTACATAGTAAGTGCTCAGTAAACATTAGCCAATATTATTTGCTAAATACAGTATGTTAGCAGAGAAGAATATCACAAATGTACATGTTCCCACTATTCAAAATTAAAATTGGTTAAGATTTTATCTTAGCTTTATGTCTTTTCTTAAAAATAAATTATTATAAAAAATAAATAAATTATTATAGATACGTTGGCTATTCTGTGACCCTCATCCTCAGTACTATTCTGCTCCTGACTCCCTAAAGGCATCCATTGTCATGAATTTGATGTGTATCTTTCCAGCCCATGTTCACAGTAATCAGAAATAAGACTTGGTATGGGGAAGGGAAGTGAGTGGCTTAGGTTTGTTTTTTTTTATTTATCTACACAAATGGTATCATAATGTTCATATTTTGCAACCTGCTTTTTTCATTCAATGTTTTTGAGATCTATCCATATAGATCTACTTCAGTCCATTTAACTGCTCTGTAATATCTCTTGTAGATATCCTGTTTTATTTATCCATTCATATCTGTATGGACATTTGGATCAGTCTGGATTTTTTGCGACTGAATTCAGTCTGTTGGAGTGAACATTTTTATACTTGTCTCCTTTGGCACATGTGCACGTTTCTGTAGAGCAGAGCTGCAAATGTAATTTCCGGGTCATAGGGTTTATCCATTTTCAATTTTTCTAGACATTGCAGTCTGGCAGAGGCAGTGAGCACAGTGAGTAAAAGCATGACCTGGGGCCCAATAGATATAGGCTCAAATCCCAGCTCTATTACTTCCTAAGCTGTGTGACTCTGAGCAATTCTTTGTGCCTTGGTTTCCCTATCTGGAAAATGAGAACAGCATATACCTATTAATGTTGTTGTGTACATTAAATGCAATAAGGCTTTTAAGGTGTTTTAGTGACTAAAACATAGTAAGCTATAATTCTTTTTTTACTATATTTTATCACATAATTCCCCCTCAAATATGATAGTAGACCTTTTGCAAAGTATAGATATGTGAATAGAAAAAAATACTAGAAGAACGTTCATCAAAATGTTAGCTAGTGTTAGAAATCTGAGTGATCTTTTTGTGTGTTTTTTTTTATATCTTTCAAATTTTCTAAAAATGAAATATATTACCTTTGTAATGAGAAAACAAAATCACAGTCAATTGATTTTTTTAATGAAACAAAATATAAAGGAATTGAGATTAAAAAAAGAATTTCCCTTCTGGTGAGCAGGTTCACTCCAAGAATAGTGAAAGAGGTCTTAAGAAGTAGCTTTATAAAAGTTTAGAAACAATCTAAATGCTTACCAGCAGAGGATTTGTTAAATATCCCTGTGGAAGGATCTGCAAGATAATATGGTTAAATGAAAAGAGCAAGTACTAAACACTGCACAGTATGTTACCGTACTGTGTTAAATTGTAGTTTTATGCTTATGTAAGCAGTCTACCTCTTGAAAGAGTCAGGAAAACTCTGCTAAGGGAACAGGGTGTCTAGGGCATGTCAGATTTATTCTTTTACTAAATATCCTTTTCTACCTTTGGAATTTCATATTGTATGCATCTATTATTTACTCAGATTTTTTAGTATATGTGCTGCCGAAGCAAGCACTTACTCAGATTTTTTAAATAAGATACTTTTAAAGTAGCTTATGCTAGAATTTAGTGGGCTTTTTACAGTTATTGTCAGTATCTCCTCCACTGCCTTTATTCTAACTTCCAAAGTTAAGGGAAAGAAGCGAGATGAGGGCATCTGGCTGGAGAGCCGGTACAACATCAGCTATGCTGCTGTCCCACCCCCAGTGCAAACCTGATTCAAAGGTATTCAGACATAGGAGGATGGAAAGTGGTTCTAGAAGGGCATAACAGCCTCAGTAGAGGGGTGTGTGTGTGTGTGTGTGTGCCTGCAACTACAATTATGTGTAAAACGTAAGGGGGAGAATGGTAAGAGATGTGGCTAAAAAGGTGTGATAGGGCCAAGCTATGGAGCCAATGTTTTATGAGTCATGCTAAGGAGCTCAGACCCTCCAATCAAAGATGTAGTGTTACTAAAGCATGTACAGTAAGGGAGTGAGAACACCCAACTTGAATTTTTTAGTGTTTATTTTTTAATGTTTTAATGTTTATTTACTTATTTTGAGAGAGAGAGAGAGAGAGAGAGTGAGTGGGGGAGAGGCAGAGGGAGAGGAAGAGAGAGAATCCTAAGCAGGCTCCACACTCATCATGGGGCCTGACTTGGAGCTCAGTCCCACAAACCATGAAATCATGACCTGAGCTGAAATCAAGAGTTGGACACTTAACTGACTGAACCACCTAGGCGCCCCAATCCAATTTGTGTTTTTGAGATTTTACAAGGGCTGCTGCACAAAGGATGATTTTGAGAGATAGGAAGAACAGTTCAGAAGCTGGTAAGAGATGATAAAGCCCTGAATTTAAAGTGTGAGCTAGAATTTGAACCCAGCCTGCCTGACTCCAAAGATCAAATGTTATTTCTCCGTACAACACACTGCCTGAAGAAATGAACCATTGGGTTCCTTTGAATCAGCTTTCACCACACTAACACTGGAAGTACTACCAGTAGATATACATCTTCATTTACATTGAGATAAAAAGGAAAAGATGACCTCTTAATAAATCCTATGGGTTCACAAAAGCAATTCCTTTTATAGTTTTTTTTATGTTTGTTTATTTTTGAGAGAGAGAAAGAGAGAGAGAGCAGAAACGGAGGCAGGTCAGAGAGAATGGGAGACAGAATCCAAAGCAGGCTGCAGGCTCTGAACTGTCAGCACAGAGCTGGACATGGAGCTCAAACCTACAAACTCTGAGATCATGACCTGAGCTGAAGTTGGCTGCTTAACTGACTGAGCCACCCAGGCACCCCAAAGCAATTCCTTTTAAAGGAAGAAACCTTAAAATACATGCTGTCACCTTTGTGGTTTGGTTATTCATTAAGTAAGTCTTGCTTACAACATCTTGGGGAAATAGGATTTCCCATTTTTCCCATTTGCATCCTTCCTTGCTTTTTGAATATTTTGCTTTACTATTACTATAAATTATCTAGTATAGTTTACACTTCAGGTATTGAAAATTAAAGAAGGTATCATCCATGAATCCCCAATTTCAAAAAAAGTGGAATATGAACAACAGTAACATTATAATTAGCATATTATAACCTTTGATTATTCAAAAGGCAATTCATGAATAGAGTACCTCAGCATCTATGTTAAGAAAATTATTATCGGGGCGCCTGGTGGCTCAGTCGGTTAAGCATCTGACTTTGGCTCAGGTCATGATCTCACAGTTTGTGAGTTCGAGCCCTGTGTCAGGTTCTGTGCTGACAGCTCAGAGCCTGGAGCCTGCTTCAAATTCTGTGTCTCCCTCCCTCTCTGCCCCTCCCCCTCTCATGTTCTTTCTCTCTCTGTCTCAAAAATAAACACCAAAAATTAAAAAAAAAAAAAGAAAATTATTATCATAAGCTCCTAATAGAAAGGGCAGGGTTTATTCGTGTTTTATCCTCAATGCCCAGTATGTAGCAGACTTTCAATGAATGATTGAATGGCTGGATGGATGAGTGAATGGTAGAAGACTATAGCAGTAGATTATTCTGAGCCTATAACTTTCCTAGTACCAGTTTTGCATGCCTTTCTTTTGCTTTTTTCTCCTATAAGTAGAATACAAAATAGCAAAGCTGATTCTCTCCTAAATTGATATTTAGGAGCTTTTGGCAGGGAGCAGGGAAGGGAACATTGAATGACCCTTAATTTTTTGGAAACAGTTTTATCAATATATAATTCTCATACCATAAAAATCTCCCATTTGAAGTGTGCAACTCAGGTATTTAGTATATTCACAAAGTTGTGCAATCATTGCCACTAATTCCAGAACACTTTCATCCCCCTCTAGAAGAAATCCCATACCCAGTAGCAGTCAGTCTCCATTCCTCTCCCCCCTCAACCCTGGTGACAACTAATCTATTTTCTATTTCTATAGATTTGCCTGTTCTGGATATTTCATATGAATGGAATTCTACAGTATGTGGTCTTTTATCACTGGCTTCTTTCACTTAGCGTAATGTTTTCAACGGTCATCACATTGCAGCATATATCAGTATTTTTTTTTTTTGCTTTTTATTACCGTATAGGAGCTTTCTGAGCCAGTAATTTGTGGTTTAAGTCATCGCAGTATTTCCTACATTTTGGACAACTAAAGGAATTCATCTGAAACTGAAAGGAAGCCAGCATGAATACAACCCAGGATGAATGAGATTACAGCCATCCTCATCTTTGGCAGTGGCAAAATTATGCTGAGCCAAAGATCTGTCTTAATAGGATGGCAGGCCCAAGTTATGTGTTGTGACCTCCTGCTGGCAGTGGTCTAGTCTGAGAAGGGCTCATGGGTGCTGGTATAACGGGATGAGGCAAGTGCCTCATAGCTTATATTTCTGGCTTGGGCAGAGCTTGGGTGCAATTCCTCATCTTCAGACATCTGAGAAAAGTATGTCGGGGATCTCCTGGTTCCATTTGTTCTGTTTGCCAGTGGGCAGGGTACTACACTGCACTGTGCAGACAGGTTGGACAGTTTATTGTAGGCTGACGAAAGCAGATTAAAAAACCATCAGCTTGGTGGGAAACTAGCTCAGAGTCCAATCCAAATTTCAGATGAAATATTTACACAGCCAGGAGATAAACCAAGGGAAACAGTGTGCCCTTTGTGTGTGCTTCTGAGTGTGCAGGCACACACAGAGCTGCTGACCATTTGTCAACTTCCAAGATTTATTCTGCTGCTTCTGGCAAAGGACAACCTAATGATTTAATAGCTTGTCAACACTTACACAGAGAAACAAGGACTGGAACTTCCTCATTTCTTATTTTCTTTGCTTTAAATAGGAATTCCTATTGTAAGTCACTGGAACCTGGAAATCAGACTGTCAGGTTCTCTTGACTTGGGTGCACAGTTCCTGAATCTGAGCATAATGAATGTTATAACTTTCCTGTTATACAAACACAGGGTTTCTACCCTTCCAGAAGAACCCATTGAGTTCATGTCCTAAAGCCTGAGTGTTTGCTTCAGACCATTACTGTGAGCCAATTTCAAATGGAGTGAAACTGTTTTGTTTCTGTCCCATGAACCTCTTGAGTTGAATGCCTGCTTGAGCAATCCAGTGCCTAGTTGCCACATTTACATTTGAGATGGAGAAGTTATTGAGAGGATTTAGTGGGGAGGAAGACTGGACTTCTTGTGTAGAGTATTATTCTTCAGGCATCCTTTGGCAGTTGTAGGTTCCTGAAAGCAGGAAGCATGTCCTTTTCCATATAGCAAATCCCACAGTGCCTAGACACTGTAGTGTCTGGCACACAGTCACTTTACTTGACTGATTTTCAGACAATTCAACTATGATCTAGTGAACAGAATGACAAGTTAACCAGAGGGTTATATTTTATATTAGAAGAATACCTTAGGTACACTGGGCCTTTATCCCAAACAAAGGTAAAATAGCAAAGTGGTATAGAGCTTTACTTCTCAAACTTCAATATGCATGTGAATTACCTAGGGCCTGTTAAATTCAAATTCTGATTCAGTAAATCCAGGGTGGAACCAGAGATTGTGCCTTTCTTGTCAGCTCCCAGGTGATACAACGTTGCTGGTCCAGGAACTACACTTTGAATAACAAGGATCTAGAACTATGTTGCTAAATATGGTAACCACTAGCACATGGACTGTGCCCGTCCAAGTTGAGATGTGCTATAAGTATAAAATAGACATCAGATTTCAAAGACTTAATTAAAACATGTAAAATATCCCATTAATGGTTTTATATTGGTTATATGTTAACATGATAATATTTTGAATATAGTGGGTTAAAAATATATTCTTAAAATTAAATTCACCTGCTTCTCTTTACTTTTTAATGTGGCTACTCAAAATATTTTCAATATTCACATATATGGCTCACATTATATTTCTACTAATCGGCACTAGTCTAGAGTAGGTGTTGAAAACTTAAGTGAAGGACCAAATACTAAATATTTTGGACTTTTCAGACCATAAGGCCCCTGTCCTACTTTTTACCTCTACCATTGTGAGCACAAAAGCAGCCACAGACAATACATAAATAAATAAGTATGGCTGGATTACAATAAAACTTTATTTACAAAAACAGGTAGAGGTGGTAGCCATGAAAACCAACAGCACACAATAATGGTGAAAAACAGAGAGGCCTAGCAGCCACCAGAGGGAGCTGAACAGTGTTGGAGCTCCTTCAAAGCCCCATTCCCAGAGAATTATTTGACCTGTCTGGTTGTTCCCTAGAAGACACCCCTTGCAAGACTTTTTTCATTAGACCTGACTCAAGAGCTTATTTGGTGTGAAAAACTTTTTCCCTGAGGCATTTGTCAAAAACAATTAGATGCAAATGATTGATTAACTGCATAGCTGTATGAGACAGTAGATAACAGTTTGGGAAAACATTAGGCTAACCAAAAGGCTTAGAAAAAGCTAGGGAACGAGATGTCCATAGGGGCTTTGAAAGGCTTCACCATATTCCTGGGAATCTAGGGGGGCACACGCATGCACAGAACTGTGTGTATGCTAGGGATGTGAGTGTGCTCAGAAAAGACCTGAGAAAGGCCTCTGGTTGACCTTCAAGCTCTGCACAAGTGAAGTGCTAAGACAGAGTGATGCACTGTCTGGCTAAATGTTGAGGGTGTGCCTCCAACATGCACACAGAACCTCTTGGCAAAGACTGGGAGACTTGCAGGCATTTCAGAACATCTCTGTCCAACCATTGGCTGAATATTAAGTTAAGCAAGTGGAGATTTCAG